GCCAGCCTCCGGCGTCATCTGTCATAGTGTTTGGAGGGCCGGGCACTCGCTGACGGGATTGCCCGATCATGTCTGGATGGGCGGGTTCAGGTCACCTGCTCACGGGGAGCGCTGGGGCGGCGGGTGGCGCTGCCGCTCTGCGGACAAGCCCTGCTAACAGCTGGGTCTGGGGGCAGGCAAGCTAACGGCCCCCTTTTTCACGAATGGGGCTTGCTTTTTCTTTAATTAAAGAGAATTACTGTGACATTGTGTTGTCACTATGAAAAGTCATTTAGAAATTATTTTATCTGGGTCTGCAGCCTTAAACTGGGTTCCTAACTTCCCTGGCAAGACAAGTAGCAGAACTGGGCCTGAGCCCTGCTCCCCCGAGAGCTCAGGGCTTGACCGTCGCACCTGGGTCGCCAGGTACCCGGGGCAGGCGACTTCACCTTTCCGCCTCTCGGTGTCCTCATCTCAAAGTCGGGCTCACGGTGCCTGCTCTGCAGGGTCGCGTGAGGAACCGATCCCGCGGGGCCCACACAACGTCCAGCAGGTAGCAGGTGCTCAGTGAACGCCAGCCTGCCAGCCAGGCGCTCTCCGCCAGGCGTGGTTGCGTGAGCTGGTGGGTGGGATGCGCAGTGCCCGGCGTGTGAGTCGCTAGACGATGAGAGCCCCTGCTCCTCATCGGCTGGTTTATCCCACGCAGACGCGCAATGGCTACTTTTTGTTTGGGTTTTTTCCTTAGAGTGCTTCCTACCTGCCAGATGTTGTGCTAAGAACTTTGCATTTTCACTTAATCCTGACGACAACCCTGTGGAGTAGGTTCTAGGATCATCCCCACTTTACAGATGGGGAAACTGAGGCTGGAAGTGGCAAAATAACTGGACCACGGTCACACAGTTGGGAGAAGGTGGCACCAGCCTTTGGACTCGGGTCAGACTCCAGACCGCGCTCCTGGCCGCCCTGCCGCGCTGTCTGCAGAAAGAGCGCAAAGCGCCGCTTTCCAGTGTGTGAATGAAGGCACTTGGCATTTCGCTGGCCAGCCGTCTTCTGCCAGTCAGGACTGATCTTGGAATTTGCAGTGAGATTGTAAATTTACAATGAGATTTGCCTGTTCCAACTTGAAAGGGGCTCAAGACGCGTAGATGAGACACCCGACTGATACCGAAGAGGCTCCGTGCAGTCAATGCCTGCTGGCATTTTTGAACTAAAAGTCTGCTTTTTAGTGTGTGGGCCTGCCCAGGCTTCCAGCCCCTGAGGCCGCGCCGCGGATCCTGGCGCATCTGCACAGGCCGGCCACTGGGGGCCGCTCCAGCCCAGCCCAAGCGAGACCTCAGCCGCCTGCGCTGCCCGTCCAGAAAACCCGCTAGACCCAGCCTCCCTTCGCTTTTCCTCTTCAAAAGGCTGGTGTTTTGCTTCTCCCTTTATTGTTGCTTGCACGTTACAAAGCGAGTGAGACACAGTAGCCTTTGTGGGGTGTTCCGTGAGCTTGCATGGTGCCTGGTCCCAGACAGCTGCTGTCACAAGTGGGTCCCTCATTCAGATACGAATGACCGGATGCCTGGACCAGCCCCAACGGAGCTGCGTGTCCTGAAGGCCCCGCTGCAGCAGGCAAGTGCCCAGGACCTGAAAGGACTGACGTCGTGGGTCCCCTCGTCCGTTACCAGGCTGCCGTGTTTCACTAACGCACACAAGTGAGAAGTCGGCGGGTCAGAGGCTGCGTCGGTGAAGAGTTCTGGGGACAGGTGGGTGTCGGGGCAGAGGAGGGAGCCGCGCTCGGTGGACCCCGGTGCTGCTTGGGGTGGGGGCGAGGAAAGCCATCCAGCCTCCAGACATAGCCCTTCACCTGCCAGAGGAAGGAGCAGCGCTCAGCGCCGCAAAGTCCCTCGGATCCCAGCAGGCCCGGTTTGCGGCTCCCTGGTGGGTGGCAACCGTTTCCTGTGAAGTTTCTGTTGGCTGGGGTCTGGCGGACTCCAGCTCGAGATGGATTTGTGCCTCTTGTAGTTGGACCGTTCTTCCTAGAGACCCTGTTTATGTCCCTGCGTAGACTCATAGGATGCTGAAGCTCAGACCACAAGAAACATTCAGCTTGTAATTCTTCTTTTTAAAAAATAGATGGAGCTGCTGAATCCCTGACAGGTTACATGATGTATAATTTCCACCATCATCATCTGACAACGCCGTACAAAATGCTTTTCCTGCGCTTACTTCAGTTTATCCTGCTAACTCTCCTCATGGTACAGGTGGAGAGGCTCAGGCTCAGAGAGGCTAAGCTACTTGCTCAAGGTCACACAGCAAGTTAGAGGCAGAGCTAAGCTGCAAATCCAGGTCCTTAAATATACTGTAGACTTTCCTAGACATCCCAGACTGTCCCAGGCTGCCGCGGGGAGGGCTGAATTCTGCCAGAGCACGTGGGCCTGCTCACTGACTAAGTGATTCGCTGAACAAATCAACGCACTGACTAATCCCCCCTGTTCACTGATTCGTTCATCCAGCAAGAATTTGTGGGCGCCAAGGTCCCTTTCTCGCACTAAGCGCTGTTGACACGATGCTGAACCAGACAGAATGGTCCCTGGCCTGGGAATGCGACCGGCTGGTGCTTCCCTCGGAGCCTTTCAGATTGTGTCCCCCCGATGCGCCCCGTCCGGTCTGTCTGTGGCGTAAGTGAACCGTGCATCGTTCCTGCCTCGTGGGCACTTCATCCTAGAAGAGAGAACACGGACACGCGTGCATGAACGTGTTGGGAGCGAGCACGTCTCGAGCCCGAGAGGCAGACTCACCCTCCAGCTCGCCCCTGGGCCACTAACTGGTGCCTTCTGGCGGCACCGGGCAGGTCAGTGCCACGGCCCCCGTTCCACCGCGGTACAAGGCACCGGGAGACTCGGGCACAAGCTAACCGCGCCGGCGGTCTGCGGCCCCCTCGTTTCCTTAGGTTACGTTTGTCCTTTGAGACAAAGTAGGAACGGCGCGGGTCTTGGTGTCAGACCCGGATTCGAATCCCGGTTCCCACTGCTGCGCCTCAGCAGCCCATGTAGCCTCTGCTAACAACTCAGACACGACACACAGCCGCAAAGGCTGATGGGCCTGCAGGTCCCTCAAAGGAAAACATCGCCCGTCTTGTATTTTTAGCCCTAGAAAATCGCCGCGATAGCCTTGCACTTTGACCCCAGCTGGGAGGCTCTCCGTGCTGCCTCAGCTTCCCCGTCTGCAGACTGGCTCCTCCGTGCTCAGGGCCAGGAGCAGACTTCATTGTTTACAGTGTTTTTATGTGCCGAGTGGGGGAAGGGACATTTCTGGGTATTTTTAAAAATTGATAATTATAAATTATAAATTATAATTCACCCATGTCCACGTACGGAGAATAGAAGGTTACCTGTATTCTAAAGGTTACCTATATTCTAAAATCGTATAATTTTAAAGCCGGTCGAGACCCTGACGATGTTCCAGACCAACAGCCTCCTCTTCGAGCGAAGAAAGGCGGCGAGGAGCTCGGCGCTCGGTGGCGCGTGTCTGGTCGCTGGGCGAACCGTGGGCCGGGTCTGAGCTCTCGCTGGTGTCAAACAGTTCAGTGCCTGCAGCCACAAGTGCTGTCTGTGGGGGAAACCGCCAGTAGCCAGCGGTGTCGAACTCTCAACCCATTCGTCACTCCTGGATATTGTCCCCGCTCCTGCACAAAGCGGGGTCGCGTAAGGGAGGCCCAGGGAGCGCCAGATGGGAGGGTGGCACGAGGCCACCCCCCGAATTCCCTGCACAGCTCTGCGGGTGCCTCCCACACCCGCCCCAGCCGGCCCGCGGCACGCTGTGTTGGTTCCCGTGAAAGACAGTTACTGTCCTGCAGTTATCAGATTGCAGCAACTGTCTGTGGAAGTCTGTTAGCGAGCGACAGAGCAGCTAGGGACAGGAGACGCCGCGTGCGGCAGAATCCGCGGGGAGCGCCTTAAAGTGCGGCGTCCAGGCCCTCACCAGGCCCTGCTGAGCCCGAATCTCTGAGGACGGCAGCCAGGAGTCTGCACTTCGGAGCCGATTCCGTAGCGGTGGGCGTGCGCGTGCTGGCTGCGGCGGGCTCGGGGGTCCTGGGGCCGCGCTGGGCCCGTGTGGGGCAGGAGGTAGAGTGGTTGACGCCGAGGTGAGTATTTAGGGGTGACTTAGAGAGGAGAGCTCCGGTAAAACCTGGGCACATAGTGCGACCAGGTTAAGCAGAGGCTGCCTAGAGATCAGGACAGGTGGACAAGGTAGCTCGTTGCAGGTCAGAATTTGTTTACAAAGCTTGCTCATTGTGTATTGTTTTACAAAATTATATGGTGGTAGGATTTAAGCTGCTTAATTTTTTTTCAATTCAAAATACACTTTTTTTTTTTTTTTTTTTTTGCATTTCCAACCTCTTTTTAATTAAAGCAAAGTCTGGGACTCTCGTAGAGCTGGTATACACCTGAGAAACGTGCCTTTGCGGTATTTCTGCAGGCGGGGAGCCGAGCCCCTTACCGCCACCCAGTGGCAGCGCGCGGAACCTGCGTTCACTGGAGGGCTCGCCGTGAACCTGCCATGGGCACCGGCTGGGCTGGGTGCTGGGGACGGAGCTGAACTTGAGTTTGTTGTTTCAGCAATACATCAATCTCTGGGTTTTTTTGAGACAGAGTCTCACTCTGTCGTCCTTGGTAGAGTGCAGTGGCATCGTCGTAGCTCACTGCAGCCTCAAACTCCTGAGCTCAGGAGATCCTCCTGTGTCAGCCTCCCGAGTAGCTGGGACTACAGGTGCGCGCCACAACGCCCAGCTAATTTTTCCATTTTTAGTAGAGACAGGGTCTTGCTCTTGCTCAGGCTGGTCTCGAATCCTGAGCTCGAGTGATCCTCCTGCCTCAGCCTCCCAGAGTGCTGGGATTACAGGCGTGAGCCACCAGACCTGGCCACATCAATCTCTTGCGAGTGCAGTCATGCAACCTAAATGCAGACAGTGCCGCAAGCAACACCACAGCTCAACGAATGGGCAAAAGAACACACAGTCTTACTGCTTTCTTTTCCAGGAATTAGTGGTGGGCCCTTGGAAAACCACTACAGACTGAAGCAGTTCCACTTCCACTGGGGAGCAGTGGACGAGTGGGGCTCGGAGCACACGGTGGACGACCACGTGTACCCGGCAGAGGTTCGTAGACGTCATCACATTCGGGTGCTTTCTGTGACCCAGGCTCTATTGTGAGGAGACCAGCCATCCCAGCTGCTCAGATGTGAGTGATTTCCTGGGACCTGGAGCTTTTAGTGCTCAAACCAGAACAGTTGGCCAACCTACCCACTTAATCCCACCACTAAGAGGAAGGTACTATAAACACGCTCATTTAACAGAAGAAAAGATGGAGGTTCTGAGTGTAACTTGCTAAAGCAGACAGCTGGGGTTCGAGAACAGAGCCTGAGCTCTTAACAGCCTCTAACTCAGCTGTTTGCTTGCAGCGATATAGACTAGCAGCTGCAGGAGGTCCTCTTCTGAGAATCTGAAATCTTTACAATAGAGATCATCTTCTTTTTTTTTTTTTTTTTTTGAGACAGTCACTCTCTTGCCTGAGCTAGAGTGCTGTGGCGTCAGCCTAGCTCACAGCAACCTCAAACTCCTGGGCTCAAGCGATCCTCCTGCCTCAGCCTCCCAAGTAGTTGGGACTACAGGCATGCACCACCATGCCCAGCTAATTTTTTCTATATATTTTTAGTTGTCCCGCTAATTTCTTTCCATTTTTAGTAGAGACGGGGTCTTGCTCTTGCTCAGGCTGGTCTCGAACTTCAGAGCTCGAAAGATCCTCTCACACCGGCCTCCCGGAGTGCTAGGATTACTGGCGTGAGCCACCGCGCCCGGCCCGCTTTTAATAAATAGATATTTTAACAGAGAAAGGTTGTTGCAGTTTGTTCCCAGGGAAACAAGATCAGCGAGCTTGGGCCCCAGGGCTCTCCCTGACTCCGGCCCCTCCTGGCGGTGCCTCTGGCCCAGGCTGCAGCCATTCCCTGGGGGCCGGGGGATGAGAGGGAAAACTAGCTCCACAGGTGGGGTCTGTAAAGGAACAGGGCTTTGGCGGGGGTCGCGGGTGCGGCACTCCAGGTGAGCCACAGGCGTTGGCTTGTGGGCCCAGATGCACGTGGCCGGGGTCACTGAACCAAGCAGGTGGTGAGGTGCCACACCGCGCTCACTGCCCAGTGCCCTCTGCGGGACCCGGCCCCGCAACCCCAGCAGGGCGGGGGCCTGTTGACAAGTAGCCCAAGGGCTTGTTGCACCCCGTCCTTGTGGGCTTGGGGCTTGGTCAGTCTTTGGAAGAGCCTCCACCACGACCCACGTGCTTACAAGGAAATACCTGGACGTCCAGGCCCCTCCCTTCTAGGTGAGACCCTGCTCTCACCAGGGTCCAGGCACCGGGACCATGGTCCCTCCTGCCTCCTGCTCACCAAGGACGCAGGAGGCCCCTCCTCAGCCAGCTCTGATCTGAGTCTGGACTGAAGACCAGGCTCCCAGACCCATTCTCCAGCAACAGGAAAACCGAAGGAGGAGTGTAAAATAAAGACACCACGAGGTTCAAGGTCAGGCACCAGATTTAGGAAAATACGCAATATTTGGGACATACTTACACTAAAAACAATATTCATTGCTTATCTGAAATTCACATTTAACCGAGAGTCCTGTATTTTATCTGATAATCCTTGCTCAACGGTAACTAAGAAGTAGCAAGTGATCAAACCACTCGTTTCTATTTTATGAAGTTAAAACAATCCTCCCTTTTTGTCCCACCAGGAAGGCAGGGTCCTTGTTGCCGTGGTTTTGTCAAGCGTCTGGGAGCTCCAGAGTCGCTGGCAGCGCCGGGCTTATGCGCACCCGGCTGCAACAACTAAATTCGTTGAAATTATTAAACAGACACCTAGGTCGGCCACGCAGAAGGGGAAGTGGCAGTTTGATTTCTTGCTGCGTCATGGCCAACTGAAATTCTCTTTCTACTGTGTTCCAGCTGCATTTAGTTCACTGGAATTCTGTGAAATACCGAAACTACCAGGAAGCTGTCACGGGAGAGAACGGCTTGGCTGTGATAGGCGTGTTTTTAAAGGTAATCACCTGCCAGGGCGCAGCTCTCCTAACGAAGAAAGCAGTGAGTGATCGCTAGGAGGCGCTTCCCAAGCACCGTCTGTTTACGGCGAAGCGCGCCGCCCCCCCCCCAACCCGTCTCTGCCTCTCCAGCTAACGTGCTGTGTGTGTCGGTGCCGTGCAGCTGGGGGCCCCGCACCAGGCGCTGCAGCAGGTGGTGGACGTCCTGCCGGAAATAAAGCACAAGGTGAGCCCCGCGCGTTGAAATCGGCGTAATTCGACGGCACAGTTGTGTAGACTGATGACTCATTTGCAAGGGAAAATAAACAGCTCCGGGACAGGGCGTCACGGCGGGAGGCGATGCCAGGTCTGGAAAGGGGATTCGACAGGGCCGGTTCTAGCCGGGCCCCTGCTGGCTCACGCGGACCCCGAATGGGTTTGCTCCTCAGGAGAATAAGGGTGTTGGGTTCCATTGGGGTTTCCCAAAATTCAGCCATTCAGGCAGCATTTGAAGGTTTTTGACATATCTGCTTGTCACTGGGACTACTGTTTACTTAAAATTGATTAGCCTTGGTCCAAGCAATGGCATCCACCAGTGGTAAAGTTTGTTTCAACACAGATTGAGATCAAAACCTATTAACACTTCAGCATGGCGACCACATGCCACCCGGCACACTCCGGACGAGCACCTAAGGCCGTCCCCGTCCAAGGAGAACGTGGAGTCGGGGAAGAGGCAGCCCCCGCGGCACAGGCTGAGGCCCCCACTGCAGGTCTCCGCCTGGCCCTGGCTGCGCCACGCCAAGCACAGCTCAGAAAGATGACAAGGACAATCATGTCGCTTTTCTCCAAGATCAGCCAAGAAAGGACTTTGATGCAGAGGTGGAAATACCAAAGACATGTAGTTTATTTATTCAGTACCGAACAAAAGAATTCCAAGGGGAAAGGAGTCGCTGTGACCCTCAGAGGTGGAGACGGATGAGGCTGCGCCTATCTTAACAATGGTGTGAGCGGGGCCAGCCCTTCCTCGGCCGGTCCATGGGAGCCGTTTGATCTGTGCCCTGCGTCCCCCTCCATGCTGGCCCTGCCAGCCTCGTGGGACTGAGACCAGATCCCCCCTGTGCTCTGTCCGCCAGCTCAGGAACTCCACAAGGCGCCTCGTCCTCGTCCCTCTCTGGTCCACGGCCAGAGTAAACCTGGGCCATGGGATGTTTTCCCAACCAGCTTCCACCCCCACATGGGGTCCCACCTCTTGGTGGGGGAGACAGGAGATGGCTGTGGGGGCTGTTTGCGCAGGGCCTGTTTCTCTTCCCTGGGAGGCTCTGGGCCGCCTCTCCCCTGTGCGCAAGCCGCACGGGAGAAACGGTGTCGGGGGTGAGAGGAAGCACTTCCTGGGACACAGCTCTCGTCCTGAGGCCATGCTCTGCGCCTCGGCCTCCCCGAGGAGGAACAAGAGAGTTACAGTCTTAAGAGGTGACAGTCAGAGAGGGACAGTCGGAACCACAGCTGTGTGCTGCCGGAGCCACGTTCCACCCACCAGAGCTGACCATGCGTGCGGGACGGGCCCTGACTTGCTCTGGGGCCCCGAGGGCGAGCGGCTTTCTGCAGCCAAGCGGCTGCTCTGAACGTCGTGCATCTCGGGGACGGGACGCAGAGCTCCTGGGACGATGCTGGCCGCACCCAGACATCCTCTTCCTGGGCAAAGGCTGGAGAGCTTGACTGGGAAGAGGGAGGCTCTGAGCAGAGGTGGGGACCCCCTGCCCCTGTGGTTCCCGCAGCTCTGGGGAGCCAGGGGCACCAGCCTCGGAACGCGCCCGACTCCGCGGATGGCGCCGCTTTGGGCAAGTGGTGTCCGGCTGCCTCACTTCCCCCAGCAGTGAGGTGGAGACACGTCCATGGAGCTTCGCACTGGCACGTGGTGCTGCTCCTCCTCCTCCTCCTCCTCCTCCTCCTCCTTCTCCTCCTTCTTCTCCCCCTCCTCCCCCCTCCTCCTCCTCCTCACCTTCCCTCCGATGTCACCTTCTCAGCGAGCCTTCGGGACCACACTTTTTATTTTTTTATTCATCATTTGCTTTCAGGGAGCACCTCCCAGAGCAGACCACCCTTTATAAACACCCACCACGCCCCGTCTCTTACCCCGCTCCCCACCCTGTTTCTCCAGCCACCCCCACGGTGGGAGCTGCTGGGCACGTGGGTGCTTATTTGTGCGCTCTCCGCGCCCGCCAGGCGGCGCCGTCCACTCGGTTCCCCCTGCTTCCCTCCGAGGCGGGGGCGCGTTTACTGCACTGCGCCGCGGGCGGCTGTGAAGAACAGTGAATGGTGGCCGTGTGAACGCCGGCGTCGCGCTGGACTCAAGAGAGGCAGCTCTCGCTCTGCCGTTGGATAGAACACAGAAAGGAACAAACGTGAATTCTGAACTAAGGCCACCAAGCAGGGACGTGCTCACGGGGCCAGTCCCGGGAGGAGCAGGGAGAGCGAGGGCCATGGTGGTCGAGGACAATTGTCGCGCGTCAATCCCACCCGCTCCCCATGGGAAGGGGAATGTTGGCGTGAGAGCCAGGGTGTCCCCCGAGCGCCCAGGAACTGCCCCGTTTCTACGTCAGGACGCTGCTTGGGAGCATCCGCTGCCATCGAAGCGCAGGTTTTCTGGTGCAGCCACTGTGGGAACTGCACGGTAGCTCCTTAAAACAGTAAAAATAAAACAGCCATGTGATTCAGCGGATCCGCTGCTTGGTATATGCCAAAAAAATTGAAAAAAAGGGTCTCGAGGAGACGTTGTATGTGCGTGTTCATAGCGTCATTCACCTCAGCCAAGAGGCAGCCGCCACGCAGGTCCCTCCACCAACAAGGGAGGAACAGGACGTGGCCCATCCACGCAGGGGCACATGACTCAGCCTTAAACGGACGGAAACTCTGACTCGCGCCGTGACGTGAGGGGACCTTGAGGACACTGCGCTCGGTGAAATGAGCCAGTCACAGGAAGACAACTACTGTCCGATTCCACCCGTGAGTCACCCACGTGAGTCAGATTCGCGGAGACAGCGGACGGGGGTGCCGGGGCCGGGCAGAGGACGGCAGAGCGTGTTTAACCGGGACGGGGTCTCCGTCTGGGATGACGGAGAAGTTCTGGAGAGGGACGGTGGTGATGGTTGCACAACTGTGTAAACGTGCTGAACGCCACCGAACTGGACACTTCAGTATGGTTAAGATGTTAAATTTTGTAATATATATATTTTAATACAATAGGAAATGTAATATTTTTACACTTAAAATATATAAAAATAAATGACTTTAAAAGGAAAAATACAAACATTTGGTGGGAATTCCTGCTTTGTATATAAGGGTCACATTTCCTAGTTATGGTTTCCACGTGTGACAACGGCGGCCTCACAGCCTTTATCTGGGGAAGGCACTCCCCCCCCACCCCAGCAAGCGCGTGAGGCCCGCGTGCGCTGGGATAAGCCGGACGCCGCCTCTGCCCCTTCCTGCAGCTCCTGCTCGCGCCTGAGAACTGACGGCCCCGTGGTTCTCGTTCTCCCAGGACGCGCGGGTGGCCCTGGGCCCCTTCGACCCCTCCCGTCTGCTGCCCGCCTGCCCGGACTACTGGACCTACGCGGGCTCCCTCACCACCCCGCCGCTGGCCGAGTCGGTCACCTGGATCATCCAGAGGCAGCCCATCGAGGTGGCTCCGAGCCAGGTAACCTGCGTGATGGGACTCGCGGGCGACGTCCCTCTCATCTGGTGGTTTCGCTAAGTCATTGTGACCGAGCGTCACGGTGCGTTTGGACGCTCCTGCACGGGGAGAATTTCCAACTGAAACAGGAGCTTGTTGAGACTGGACAGGGGCCCCACTTACCACAGCCCTTCTCACACTGAGAACGGGGGACCCGACACGGGGAGAGAGTGTGTGGTAGCTATCTGCTCTCCCGTGGTCCCGCACCCAGGCGTGGCAGGGCCCTGAGCACACACGGCTGAGCTAGGGCACGGGCTCCCCTGTCTCTGTCCAGGTAAAGTTGCTGCAGAAAACAGAAGTGACGTGACCATGGGCACCTGAGTCCTAGCCCATAATAGGAACGCATTAGGTATTTGTGAGTGAATTCATTCACCAAGAAAGGATGTCACAGGTGCAGGCTGGACATCGGTGACAGAAGCAGGACCACTGAGGGAGAGGAGATTTTAGAGTTTGTTCTGCTTCTTTGGGTGATGGAACGGTCAGAAATTTAGACGGCAGAGCATTTTCTCACATGCCGTGTTGAGAGGTTGCAGGACTAGGTAGGTCCGGAGGAAAGCGCAGGCGGACGGTAGCAGTCAGCTGTTGCTGCGATGGTGCCGCGTAACAAAACACCCAGGCAGTGGCTCGCGGCACCATTTATTGTTCCTGCTCACGGGTCCGTGCATTGGCTGGAGGCTCCTGGGCTCTGGAGGGTGGAGCTTTAGGGAAGGCTGTGGTTGGGGCTGGGTTGGGTCCAGCGTCTCCCAGGCGTCCTGGACCAGTGGCTACCAGGGCAGGGTCTCATGGTCAGTGACAGAGAGGCCAGTGGCACAGTCCCCGAAGCCCCTGCTGGCCTCACGTGTGCTCTCCTGTCGGCAGAGCAAGGCTCCACGGTGGGGCCCTGGAGCGACTGAGCGGCGCCCTGGCCTGTCTCCTACTCGCACGCAGGAATCTGAGAGCCGTTGTCCCAGGGTCATGGGTCCGCAGTGGTTTTTATTTTCTTCCTTTTTATTATCTAAATTTTCTAATTTTTTTCTAAAATGAATATATAATATTTGTATACTTTTTAAAAAGTCATACTATCTTCTCTCTGGAAATCTTAAGAATCTGTAGCGATTCTGCCTGTCTAAGGTAGTCCGGAGCGTAGGGAGGACAGACACGCAACGGCCACCGCCACTCCCCACGCCCGCCGGGCAGGCATCTCGCGGCGGCGGTCCCGGTGGGGTCTGTCATCCTGGTTCAGACACGCTCTTTCCGAGGGCTCCAGGTGACCTCCTAGAGGGTCTTCCAGGCTCGTGAGTCTGTGAAAACGTTTCCTTACTCAAAAGTCACCGCATGAGGCTCTCCGCTTTGAGAGGCGGCACTTTGAGATGTGGGGCGCAGGTCACCTGCCCTAGCAGGCAGAGCAGAGCTGTCACAAACACACAGAAGGCCTTGGCTGAGAGGTGGCCCTTAGTGACCAAGACCCTCTGGCACTCAACAGCATGACCCGTCCCTCCATGTCGGTGTTGCACCAGGAGAGGGCGGGGGGCACAGGAACGGTGGCATCGGTCTCTGCGCATCGCTGTCCAGCGGGAACATGGAAACAGCCGGTAGCTTTCAGACAGGGTGGCCGGTGCCACAGAGAAACACAGGGCAGAAGCCCCTTGTCCTGCCCAGGGGAGCTAGGGAGGGGGGTGCACACCCTGGGAGGTGGGGAGGAATTCGCCAGGGAGGAGAAGGTGGTCTTGCTGAGAGAGTCTTCAACACACATGCAGACCGCGACGGATAAGCTCACCGCACACTGCGCAGCCTGGGGGCTCCCCCAGCCCGGCAGCTCCCGCTCGGCCAGCGCGTGCCCCTGAGGTGCGGACACTCAGTTCTGCCGCTAAACTCGGAGTCATCCTCACAGAGTTCATAGGTGTGTTCTGAGAACAAGTGGGGCGACACAAAAAGTATGTCTTTTGGTGCTTCGAGTGAAAACTGGACTCGAATGTCACTCTAGCCTGTGTGTCACATGAGTGGCAAATAGCTTCAAACACAGCGGCTTAGGAAAACGACGCTCATTTCTTGTCTCCCAAAAGTCTTGCGGGTTGGGGATTTGGGTGGTTCTGCCTTAGGATCCTTCACGGACTCGCAGTCAGACGTCGGCTGGGGCCGCAGTCACCTGAAAGCCTGAGCGGGGGCGGGGGGTCCGTTTTCCGAGGTGGCCTCCGAGCGGCTGGCAAGTTGGCGCTGGCCGCCCACCGGGGCTGCGGGTCCTCTCCACGGGCCGCTTGAGCACATGCGCGGCACAGCGACCGGCCTACCCGCGCGAGTGGCCCTGAACACCAAGGTGGCAGCCGCGATGCTTTGGTGACCTTGCCTGGGCCGACACGCACCGTCACTTCTCCACAATTACCGTCACACGGAGCCGTCCTGATTCAACGCGGGTGGGGACCGCACAGGCGCAGGGGTGCCGGGGCTGCTTGCTGCCCTGCGCCAGCTCACGGTGGCCGTGTCTCCTCCAGCTGTCAGCACTGCGCACGCTCCTGTGCTCCGCCGCCGGCGAGGAGGAGACAGTGATGGTGAACAACTACCGTCCGCTTCAGCCCCTGCTCAACCGGCAGGTCCGCGCGTCCTTCCAGGCCACCGAAGAGGGTCCACGGGGATAGGCAGGACTGGCTTTGGGAAGAGGAAATGCTGTTTCCCAAGTTTCGCCACGTGATCCTACGTGACTTTTGAAATTAAAAAGAAAGAGATTGTTGTTTTAGTCCGTGTGCTGTTCAGTGGCCAGTGAAAGAAGTCACTTCAGAGAAACATAAGTACTGCAGGAACATCACGCTGGGACGCAGGGGTAGGTCACGGGCCCAGGCGGGGCAGGGCGGCCTCGGGGCGAGCCGGCACTCAGCAGGGCCTTCGCTCGGCCCCCAGCTCCACTCTCCCTCTCTCCGCGGCGTCCTCCGTCTCGCCACGCCCCCGGCCACCCCCAGTTCCCAGGCAACACGAGGCAGAAACTAACACCCTCCTTCCCAACGTCCAGTTCCTGGAGCATCGGTGTCCTGGGGCTGTCGTAACAAAGTGTCACGAACTTGGTGGCTTAAAATGACAGAAATTGATTCTCACGGTTGAGGAAGCCAGAAGCTGGATCCAGGTGTTGCAGGGGGTCCCTGTGAGGGCTCCAGGGAGGACCCTTTTCCTGCCTTTCCAGCCTCTGCCTCCCCCTGCGAGGACCCTAGTGATGACATCGGACTCCCCCAGATAGCCCAGGGGACTCTCCCCCCGTCAAGACCCTCAGCTTAATCACACCTGCAAAGCCCCTTTTGCCACGTGAGGTCACATAGCCGCAGGTTCTAGGATTAGGGTGTGGACATGCTTGGGGGCCACCATACTGCTGACCACAGTCCCTAACCGTGACACCCCTGGCACTGGGGGTGTGGGGAGGGGTGGGGTGCTGTGTCAGGTCACACTCCCAGGTCCCAGGGGTTGGGACGCAGACATCGTGGGCCATTCCTCAGCCTCACACCATACGTGCAAAACCAGACTTGTACCTTCAGCCGAACAGGCCTGAGGTTGGTCACCCCAGGCTGCGTGGGGAGGGGCAGCCTGGGGATGGCACAGGGCAGCCACCTGGGGCAGTGTGGATGTCGGAAATGCTCTAGACTAGGGTTGTCCGGTGGCACTTCTTGAGACGATGGAATGTTCCAGAGCTGCACTATCTGCACAGCAACCCCAGGCACACATGGCCCTTGAGCCCTCAAACTGTGGTCAGCACGATGGAGGAAGTGAATTTTAATTGCACTTAATTTTAATTAGTTAAGGCTTACATGGCCACACGTGGCCCTACGGCACAGCTCTCTTGTCCTGGGCGACAGTCACGTGCGTTTGCACATGTGGGAAAGCCATCAGGGTGAACACTCGAGATTCACGCATTTGCACATTTTACTGTGTATATATTAATACCACACCTGAATTTAAAGAAAACCCTTTGCTGCCCTCCTGAGAGCCAGGGTTTCTGAGCCTCTGCAGACCGGCCCGGAGCCGCCTGGCACTTCTGCAACTCGGGGCGGCAGGCGGGAGGGTGGCAGCGTCAGGCTGAGAGATGACAGGCAGAAGGACGAATTGCAGCCATCAGTGTGGTCACTTACACACGGCGCAGACACGCACAGCCCTGCCTGCGCCTCAGCCCCGAGGGCCTCGTGGCACACACTCCCCGGGTGCCAGCGTCACCAGGACACGTCTGCTGTTTGCTGAGGCTCCCGCAGGTAATTCGTTCTACAAAAAAACGTTTAGAAGATTTAAAGGCGTGTTGGCTCCTGCGAGGAGACCACGTCTGGGGCGATGCTGGGTGACAGGGTGGGCCGGAAGGAACCAACACAGACGCTGAACAGGCAAAGAGCTCAGAAACGAATGCGTCTCTGCTCCGGTTCTGAGCTGACGCCCCTCACAGTCGGCCACTTAGGGGGAGTCTGCCAAACGGCAGGGAGCGCCGGCGCCAGCGACGGTCCACACCGCCGCGTCCTGCTGCCGTCCCGGGCACAGGGCTGAGTGTCCTCAGCCCCACAGTGGGACACGACCACACGGAGGCCCAGCCTCGCCCCCAAAGCTCACGGCGCCATCGGCCCAGGGAAGGGTATTTCACTGGATTGTGTAGCCAGGGATGAGCCACCCAATCCCACAGAGTCGTGGCCACAAGTTCTGTGAAATCATCCCCAGCTTTTAATGGGGAAACTGAGGCTCGCCTGAGAAGCCGAGAACCTTGTCAGTGACCCTCGCAGGCCCGGGGACAGGCAGCATTTTGCCCTCGCTGTGCTGGTTTGTTCGAGAAGGGAAAATGCAGCATCAGGACAAAGTCCTGAGCTTCAGAATCCAGCTCATTCCACGACGGCCACAGCTGCGCTGTGACGGGAAATCCGGCCACTGAGAGACACCTGCGCAGGCCTCGCGCAGCCCTGTGGGCACCGCGCTCTGCGCCGCGGTGGAGGGAATGACCGCCACCGGAGGGTGGGGCTCCGAGTGCAGAGCTTAGCACCAGGGCAGAGCAGCCACGCAGCCATTCTCCACGTGCCACCCATTTCCACGGGGACGTGGGGACAGAGACAGGCCCAGGAGCCAGAGGCGCCTCTCAGGACCTCGGAGGGGAGAAGGACGGCCGTGCCCTGGGCTCTTGTTCCGCCGACCACACGGCGATGCCATGTCCAACAGGAGCACCAAGCGGAGCTGGGAGTGACCGGCTGTCTTCATGTTGGTGCGGGGACTGTCCTCGGTGCACAAACGTCTTTGTCTCCCGAAAAAATGTCGTCAGTTATTTTTAAAAACTTGTGAACCCTGAGACACTGCAGTCCTCCTGGGAAGTGGACCAAGCCTGGACACCTTGCTACGAAGCCACAGACACACCGAGAGGAAAAGGTGTTGACTTCGGGCCTCAAAGCGACGGTACGAAAACAAACGGAAGGACCCCCTGTGCCCGCCAGGGCGGTGAGAGCTCAAGGCCGGGGCTGCGGGGCGGGCCTCATTGTGTCCAGGCTCACGATTGTACTGAGGATTCCTGGCCCAGCTTTGAAGGTTCGAGGCTTCCTCTCTTTGCTTTCATGTTATTTTCTTGTTTTGTGAAGACGCAGATGTGTGAGAAGCGTTCCTGTCCCTGGCAGGCCGCCACTCCTCCCCCCGCCCTCCCCGGCCCAGAGAACAAGCCCGTTCCCAGTGGGCCACAAGCCGACTTGGTCCCCTTGACGCTGCCCCTGGGACAAAGTCCCTGTCACCCCCTTGCCACCCCAGGGCTCACATGGCCCCTGCGCCCACTCCCTCCACGTGCTGACACCTGCTCCCGCCGGGCGTCACCTGTCTGCTGCTATGCTCCTGCGGTGGCTGGGGACCTCCTTCTCTGGGACCTGTGCCTCCTGCCGAAAGGTGGGCTGTCTGCTGGCGGCTGTGTCCCCAGCGTGGCGCCCGTCACCTCCCTCTCCACCCACCCAGTGCCAAAGCAGACTTGGGGGGCCACCCTCAGGTCTTCCTCACCCCTCTTTCCCTGAACCCAAGGCGATGGTGGGCTCTGGCACCCCCAAACTATCGCATGCTCCAAATCCGTTCGCCTTGTCTGGCTCCTCTCTGCGGCTGAAGGACGTCGCCGGCCTTCCGACTCGGCCACCCCCTTCCCGGCCTCTCCCCCGTGCCCGCCAAATCCGCGCTTCACAGTGGGTCTTTTCTGAGAAACGTTCGCCTGGCCAAGCCGCTCCCTGCCCACAGGAGCTTCTTGTCACACTTGGGATTAAGCACGAGCTTCCCCCGTGAGGTCTGGAGCCCCCCTTCCACGTGGGCTTGCGTGTGTGGGGTCCCCACTCGGCTTGCCGGCTCCGCGGCTACTTGTGCGAGTCGATCCTCCCATCCTCAATGTCCTGGCCAGCCACCTGCCTGACCACGGGCCTCCCGTGTCCCCGGCCCCCGTCTCTGGGCATGTGTCGCTGAGCGTGGGGCTCCTGCGTGTTCGTTTGTTTCCCCTCTGGGTGTCCGGACCAGGGATGTGTCCCTGCCTGCTCTGCGTGCCCCGGCACAGCTGTGCTCCCGATTGCGGGGCTCAGGCAGGACTTGCCGTGCCCAGGTCAGCCGTGTGACCTCTCGTTCTGTGCCCTGGGTGCCATCCGGCTCTTGGGCCCACCCTTCCCCCCCACATCCCGCCGTGCGCTTCCTCCTCTCTCCCAAGGCCCAGCCCCAGAGCCTGCTCCCACGACACCGTCCCCCGTCCCCGAGCCAGGCAGCAGTGTCCCCTCTGCTCTGGGCACTGCACTGCGCTGGTGTTTGCTCTTCCGACGTCTCACGTTACCGCTGCTGTGTGCTCACGGGACACCCACAGACCACAGTGTCCTCGTGGACGTCTCGTTCTTGCAAAGGCAGGCATACGTCTAGCCGTCGTTAAATATTTGATGAACGGCAGGGTATGAGATGCCTTTGGTTACAAACACGAAACTTCCTTAAATCAGGGATCTGCTGATTCTCACCGTTGAGAAGCCAGGGCAGGGAGGGGAGCGAGTGTGATCACGGGACAGGCTCAGGTCACACGTGGGGTGCGTGGCCCGTCACAGGGCAGCACAGATCGCAGCCCACACACCAGAAGGCATCGTGTGGGGTACTGAACAATATCCACCTGGGCATTTTCCGAAATGAGTGGAACTGTAACCTACAAAACCCTCCTTCGCAGCTCTGAGCTCCCCCGACCCGGCCGTAGGGCGCCTGCCCCGTGGCCACTGCGCCCGGAGCTGAGACACAGAGCAGAGTAGCCCAGGCGGGTGGCGCAGAAAGAGCTCAGGTCCCTACAGACTACAGAATTCAACGGCTACTCCAGACCCCGCACGCACCCATCCTGCCCCGCTGGGGCCGCCGCGCGGGTGGGCGGTGGTTCTTCCCACAGCCCGGGGCGGAGTGGAAGAAAGTTCAGTGTGAGCCTCAGCTCACTCAGACATTGGATGAGACCCAGGGTGGGTGACGGCAGAGACGCCCGGCTCCCACCTCTCTAGAAATGTTAAAATGTGTGTCAACAGGAAAAAAAGAGCCTCTGTTTCCGCCGCGCTTAAGATACGTTCAGCGACTGCGGCGTTGAAGATCAAGGCCGTGTATTTTTCAACGTGGAGGTGATTCCCTTTGTCAGAGCTTCCTGTGTCAGCTTGGGAATCTCTGCTAGTAGCACTGAAATGTCTCTGAACTCGCGAGTTATTTTTAAGCAAAGTGAAATCTGCCGATCCTTCACTGAACTCTGGAAACTCCGAGGGGGCCGCCCCACACGCCGCAGACGTCAAACAGCAGCAGCCTCCAGAAAGACAGGCCCTTCGTGTACGTCCACACGACAAAATCCTTTCTTCCGTTGCATAGTTAAACACAACTTCACTCCGGTTTAGCCCCCACGGCTATTCACGGAGCACCTTCCGGTCTGCGCAGGCGGCGTGCGAGGCCGTTGCCACACGTCCGTGGACGGGACGACAAGACAGACCCAGGCCTGGCCCTGGCGGGGGTTACACCCTCGGGGGTGATGGCAGGGAGGCCCGCAGAGGGGATGAGCAAGCGTAGAAGGCTCCAGAAGCGGCCAGCGGAGAGGTTCACACCTGAGCGGAGGTGTCCAGGGGTGAGCGGGGCGGTCCCGGAAGTTCCGCGAGACCAGCGCGGCCGGCGGCAGGGGCAGAGACTGGAGGCCCCAGATCCAGTGGGGCCTCGGGGGCAAAGAGAGGGGCTGCTGCAAAGGAGGGCGGCCTCTCCCTTAGGTTCTTCAAGTGAACAGAAGCTATTCATAGAAGGTTTCTTGATGGAAAGTCGTGGGTCCGTGTCCTCTACGTGGGCGGAGGACAGCTCAGTGACGGGGCAACGGGGCCTGCAGGGCCCCTGGAGCAGCAGAAATAAAGCTCTCCTGACGAGAAGAATCCACGTGCACGTTGACGTGGCGCCCGTGAATGGGCCGTCTGTGTGGCCACGGTTCCGCGCTCCGACTGCAGGCGGCCCTGCGTCTGAAGCCGCGCTCGGCCACTTACAGAACTTACGGATCGCACTGCTTATCTCTCCGATCATACACAGGACTCACCATGCTGTTGTTGCAAAAGTTAAATGGCACAAAGCGTCTCCCAGGCCTGGCCCAGGACACACTCAACGTGTGGTTGCCCTGCACAGGCCTGCCGGGCAGCAGGAGGGACAGCGCGAAGGCAGCCCCGCCTCTCCCAGCGCGGACAGGAAAAGCCGCTGCGGGACACAATGACAGCGAGGCTTTCAAAAACAAAGCTCCCGGGGAAGAGTCTGCAGTCGCTACGCTAAAAGAACGCAGACATCTCTCCCCAACAGCTGAGAACAAGCCTAGGGGGGGAATCACACGAGGCAGGCGGCAAAGCATGCCCGACATCGGCAAAGGGTTGATCAGGTAAGTTGTTTTCCGGGGAACAAGAACAAGTTCAAAAGAAGCGCCAGGATCCGGCAGGCCTCCACGCCTGCGTCTGGCCGAGTGATGGAAACCGGAACCCTCGAGCAGCGAGAAGACACCTCGCCGTTAGAAACAAAGACTCGTCTGGTTTCCTCCCTTCCCCGTGTGATAACACAAGAGAGTTGGGGTTCGGGGAGCAGGAGCAGCTCCCCAGGGCAGCCACCCTGTTTGCCCAGGTCCAGCCTGTTTTCCAGCAGCAGCAGGGCCCGAGACAGGTTCTTCTCTCCCAAAACGGGCCCCAGAGCCCTGAGACCCCCAGCCAGGCCAGAGCAGCTTCCTAAAAGGGGTCATGATCCAGAGAGGGACCTCTGACCTGGCAGTGGCAGGCTGCGGACATGACCCTCGGGGGTTCAGGCCAATCTCCCCTTTCCCAGGAGGCCTGGGGAAACATTCCCCCAAAAGAAGAGACCTCGAGGCCAAATCACCCCCTGCCCACCTGAGGGACAGAAATTGCTTGTTGCTCCAAAACAGCAGCTTTCCCAGATCTCAAAAAATGGATGTGGGGTCCCATCTCAGCCAGAGCACCCCGGTAGTGACCCCACTGCTATGCCACAGGCCTGTCAGTAAAGACTGTTTTACGTTGTGGCTTTTAAGGGTGACTCGCGCTGTGTTCCAACACAAAGCACATCTTCCAGGCATTCTGTTTATTCCAATATCAGCCATTCTTTTCTTAAAAGTTGCAATAAACCACCACGTAGCCAAACCACAGAGCACAGCCTTTCTTCCTTAGAGAAATTCCCAGAAGTGCAGTTCCCGGGTCACAGGGATGCACCGTTCAAAGGCTTTTGATAGAAAGTCCCAAATTTCCCTCCATAGCATCGATGCTCCCCACCAGTGCAAGGGAGAACAAATGACCCAACTTTTAGTAAGTGGCAGAGCTTCAGGGACCACTGTGGACTAGGGGTGCGCGCCGCTGCCGTGCGGGTGGACGCGCGTCCGGATCGTTGCGCCAGAGGGCGCCCTCTGCTAAGATTTAGAGCCGGCTTGGGCGCGGGAGACATAGACACACAGGTGTGTCGGTGCTTTGCGACAGGGCAGACTGAGCCACGCGTGCACCAAAGTGCACTTGCAGGACAATCTAGGACGTTGCCGTATGGCAACCAAGTGAAAATCAACAGTGAGGCAGAATAGCCTTGGGACTTGAAAACACTCGTGGGGCGTCGTCCCCTCGGTGCTCAGGCTGTCCACATTTCCAGCTCCAGGGCACCCACCTGCTGCCAACACCCAGCCCTGCCTGCAGGTGCAGTTCCCTCCCTACCCATCTCACCCACCCTGGGCTCTCAGAGCCATACCCCACCCCAGAGAGCCGACCGACACCTGCCTGGTCCCTGCGACTGGCTCTCTGGGCCCCTTCCAGCGTCCTCCGCTTATCCTGGCTGTAATTTCACACTTCCGCGTACGACTGTTGGTCACCTCTCTGTGTCCTTGAAGAAGGGTGGCAGAATGATTAAAAGTACAGTGTAAGTTTGGGGCCAAAAGAGCGGGTTTCCAGGCCACTCGCTGCCGGCCAAGTTATGCAACCCTGCTAAGCCTTAGTTTCGTCATCTATGAAATGACGCTAAGAAGTGACGCCCACTCTATTAAACAAGAAGTATTTAATGCCGGAGGACTACTTGGCAGGGGCTCGCTAAGCTTGCCCAGCCTCAGGAGAAGGGAGCCAGGCAGCCCCCTGAGAGCACAGGGGGAGGAGCCAGCAGGGAGCACTCTGTATCTCTCTCAAGCACTGGCATAGACAATGCATGGTTAGTTATATTTGCGTGGCCTTTCGTGACCTTGTGCCCCTCTGCTTCTGGCCGTTTGGGATGTTGGACAGTTTGTCACTGCAGACAAATGACAGGCATATCGAGGGGGGAGGTCCAGAGGGACGCGGCTTGGCATTCCTCAGCTGAGCAGCCCCGAGAGGAGCTGCAGGGACAGCCCGGACACTCCTGGCGGCAGCTAGCGGTCCCACGATGACTCCGTGTCTGGCCTCCTCCCACCCTGGTTACTCATCAGAATTCCGTGGCTTCTGGACGCAGACCCGAGCAGACTGTTCCGCTGGGAACACCCAGCTCTGCAGCCTCATAAAGTGTGGACCCCGAGGACCCGCTGGGACAGATGCCCAGGACACGGGGGCACTGCGGGGAGGGTACTGAGGAGCTTCTGCGCCTGCCCTAGCCTGTGACCGCGGTCTCCCCTGCTCATCTGCCCTTTCAGTCAACAGCAGGTGTTTATGATTCTTGCCCCAAGAATAACCGCTGGAGCGCCTTGGCACCCAAGCCTGCCTTTGAATCCCCCTGAGATGTGGGGGTGGGGGTTCTCATTCTTGTTCCTTCTGGGGAACCCTCCCGTTCCTTGGACTCCACTGAGCTCATGCACATGGCTGGCTTCCCGGGCCTGTGCTGCTGTTTCTCTAAGCTGCGTGCCCGACCCTGGCTCCTTGGCAAGCTCGCCCGGGATTTATATGGGAATTTCTGAGCCCAGCCGTGGCTCGGGCCTCTGCGCTCCCTTCCTCTGGGCTTCGGCTCCCGGCCCCCATTCCCAGCGGGACCACCAGCGCCCCAGGAGCCATCTCCGCGTACCCCCAGGCCCCCGGGTGAGCAGACAGGGGTGGGGGGGTGATCCGAGGTGTCCCACCACGTGGGTCCCCCCATCCCACGGCAGGAGCCTGGGCTCCTTTGGGGCAGGGGTGGGCACCCCAAGCCCCACCCTTCCGCGTCCTGGCCTCAGATCGCTCCCAGGCCGGACTGGGGGATAC